CCAGAGCAGGTGACAGCACATCCTCCCCGCCGGCAGAAGGCTCCATCTAACCCTGGTCTCCCCCCGGGCAGGCAGCACAATGCGGGTCATTGATCAGCGGGCACACTCACCTCCTCTGCTCTGTATCAGCACGCAGCGTGGGGCCCCTTACTGACCTTTCCTTTTATAACCATAGACTGTACCACTGTGCGGAGGGAGGAGCCCGCCCAGCCCATCACAGCTTCCTGCACTGGGAAGCAGCGAGGAGAACCATGTCGATGTATTGCTGATGACAGGAGAGGACGAGGGAGATAAGGTTGTGCCAAACTTGGTGCAATGATTACGAAGGAGAAAGGAGCAGGAGGCTCCCCCTTCTTTGGGGACACATGGTCTCGCCAGCACCTGCCGTCTTTAGCGCCCGCCTGAGAGAACTTTGTAGAATCCGGCCTGGTTGAAGGACTGACGGGGGTCACGTGGCGCCGGGCAGTCATGTGACGGCTATAGGCTCGGTGTACATGCGGTCTGACACATACAGAGCTGGGATTCCAAACATGGGGGGGGGTGGCATGGGTCCTTTTTTTTTTTTTTTTATATAAGGGTTAATAAAAGAGATTTCCTATCACTTCCTGTCATGAGGACACCATAGGAGGTGAGAAGAATTTAGTTTAGCTGTGTATGGAGTGGGGAGGGATTGGACCCCCTGCCAGGTGTTTATTGCTGTCTGTGTCCCCAACAGGGAGATCCATCCTCTCTATTAGTCCCACTTACCATTATCATCGAAAGCAGGGGTGGACTGACCGTTTGAAAACTCAGGCACTGCCCGGGGTCAGTAGGAGGCCCCTGGTACCTTTTTCATTTTTTCATAGGCTTTTGAGTTTGGGCAAGGACACAGGGGCCCCATGATCCCCTATTGCCCGGGGGCCCCATGAGTTGTCAGTCCACCCGATTGAAAGTGAAAGAAATTCCGGGTTGTCACCAGAAAAGTAATAGAGGAGAAATCATCCAAGGGGGACACTAGTTCTGGTGACCTGGGGGGGGAACCTAGGGGTACCCTTCATTTGCAAAGAGTTCCTCACTTCCTGTTTGGCTGAGACAGGAAGTGAAGGGAAATTTCCCCATGGGACACAGTTGGCAAGGAAAATCTGCCCGGGGTTATAACCGTCCCTTACTCCATCCAAAATGAAAAAAAGGTTTTGCCCATGGTTCTACTTTTAGCTTTACCTACACTTCACCTCTGTGATGATTAACTTGACCAACAATAACCCCCATCATTGGTGTCCGTGCCCCCAATAACCCCCAGCATTGGTGTCCGTGCCTCTAATAATAACTCCCAGCATTGGTGTCTGTGCCCACAATAATAACCCCCAGCATTGGTGTCCGTGCCCCAACAATAACCCCCAGCATTGGTGTCCGTGCCCCAACAATAACCCCAGCATTGGTGTCCGTGCCCCAACAATAACCCCCAGCATTGGTGTCCGTGCCCCAACAATAACCCCCAGCATTGGTGTCCGTGCCCCAACAATAACCCCCAGCACTGGTGTCCGTGCCCCCAACAATAACCCCCAGCACTGGTGTCTGTGCCCCAACAATAACCCCCAGCATTTTTGTCTGTGCCCCCAATAATAACCCCCAGCATTGGTGTCCGTGCCCCAACAATAACCCCCAGCATTGGTGTCTGTGCCCCTAATAATAACCCCCAGCATTGGTGTCTGTGCCCCTAATAATAACCCCCAGCATTGGTGTCTGTGCCCCTAATAATAACCCCCAGCATTGGTGTCTGTGCCCACAATAATAACCCCCGACATTGGTGTCCGTGCCCCCAATAACCCCCAGCATTGGTGTCCGTGCCCCAACAATAACCCCCAGCATTGGTGTCAGTGCCCACAACAATAACCCCCAGCATTGGTGTCAGTGCCCACAACAATAACCCCCAGCATTGGTGTCCGTGCCGGCAACAATAAGCCCCAGCATTGGTGTCCGTGCCCCCAACAATAACCCCCAGCATTGGTGTCCGTGCCCCCAACAATAACCCCCAGCACTGGTGTCCGTGCCCCCAACAATAACCCCCAGCACTGGTGTCCGTGCCCCCAACAATAACCCCCAGCACTGGTGTCCGTGCCCCTAATAATAACCCCCAGCATTGATGTCCGTGCCCCCAACAATAACCCCCAGCACTGGTGTCCGTGCCCCTAATAATAACCCCCAGCATTGGTGTCCATGCCCCAACAATAACCCCCAGCATTGGTGTCCGTGCCCCAACAATAACCCCCAGCACTGGTGTCCGTGCCCCCAACAATAACCCCCAGCACTGGTGTCTGTGCCCCAACAATAACCCCCAGCATTTTTGTCTGTGCCCCCAATAATAATCCCCAGCATTGGTGTCCGTGCCCCAACAATAACCCCCAGCATTGGTGTCTGTGCCCCTAATAATAACCCCCAGCATTGGTGTCTGTGCCCACAATAATAACCCCCAGCATTGGTGTCTGTGCCCCTAATAATAACCCCCAGCATTGGTGTCCGTGCCCCAACAATAACCCCCAGCATTGGTGTCTGTGCCCCTAATAATAACCCCCAGCATTGGTGTCTGTGCCCACAATAATAACCCCCGACATTGGTGTCCGTGCCCCCAATAACCCCCAGCATTGGTGTCCGTGCCCCAACAATAACCCCCAGCATTGGTGTCAGTGCCCACAACAATAACCCCCAGCATTGGTGTCCGTGCCGGCAACAATAAGCCCCAGCATTGGTGTCCGTGCCCCAACAACAACCCCCAGCATTGGTGTCCATGCCCCCAACAATAACCCCCAGCATTGGTGTCCGTGCCCCAAATAATAACCCCCAGCATTGGTGTCCGTGCCCCCAACAATAACCCCCAGCACTGGTGTCCGTGCCCCCAACAATAACCCCCAGCACTGGTGTCCGTGCCCCCAACAATAACCCCCAGCACTGGTGTCCGTGCCCCCAACAATAACCCCCAGCATTGGTGCCCGTGCCAACAATAACCCCCAGCATTGGTGTCCGTGCCCCCAACAATAGCCCCAGCACTGGTGTCTGTGCCCTTAACAATAACCCCCAGCACTGGTGCCCGTGCCAACAATAACCCCCAGCATTGGTGTCCGTGCCCCAACAATAACCCCCAGCATTGGTGTCCGTGCCCCAACAATAACCCCCAGCATTGGTGGCCGTGCCCCCAACAATAACCCCCAGCACTGGTGCCCGTGCCCTTAACAATAACCCCCAGCATTGGTGCCCGTGCCAACAATAACCCCCAGCATTGGTGCCCGTGCCAACAATAACCCCCAGCATTGGTGTCCGTGCCCCCAACAATAACCCCCAGCACTGGTGCCCGTGCCCTTAACAATAACCCCCAGCACTGGTGCCCGTGCCCCCAACAATAACCCCCAGCATTGGTGTTTTAGGTAGAAGGTGGAGTACTGGCTTCATCAGGGCAGCGCCGTAACGCAAAATATGGCCTGGTCAGGAAGGGGGGTAAATCCTCTGGAGGGCAAGTGGTTAAAAAAAAAAAGTATATATAAATAAAATGGGGGTTCCAAGTAATTTTGTTGAAAAAAAAATATGCAGATTTGTTACATGTAGGAGAGAAATGTCAGGCCTGGCCTGGTGAGGAAGTGTTTAACATATGTGTGGAAAACTGTAAGAACAGCAGTGTACAGCAAGTGGTTACATGTGCGTGGAAAACTGTAAGAACGGCAGTGTACAGCAAGTGGTTACACTCGTGTGGAAAACTGTAAGAACTGTACAGCAAGTGGTTACACGCGTGTGGAAAACTGTAAGAACGGCCGTGTACAGCAAGTGGTTACACGTGTGTGGAAAACTGTAAGAACGGTCATGCACAGCAAGTGGTTAACATGTGTGGAAAACTGAAAGACCGGTTGTGTACAGCAAGTGGTTAACATATGTGTGGAAAACTAAGAACGGCCGTGTACAGCAAGTGGTTAAACATGTCTTCCTCCCTCCTGTCCTGGCAGGTTACACATAGCAGGGCTCTTCCACAATTAGAACCTCCAGCTGCTCTGCCGCCGTTATTGTAGGAGCTGTTTATAGTGATCTCTTCACCCACCTCACATGTCACCTCACGACAAGCGGCCTCTCCCGCCATAACCAGCCTATAGCGAGCCAGCGCAAGGGCGGGACTAAGGAGACCAGCTTGAGGGCCATTCAAATTGCATAACGGCCATTGTCCGTAGCCAATCAGCAGCTCAGAACGGATGGCGCGCGGTGGACTGCGGGCCGACTCTCCCATAGAGATAGATACGTGCCCGGCTCTGTTGTATACGAACCACTGCGAGACCAGGGAGATCATAAAGAACATCCTATTATCCTTTATAACGGTTCACAATCGCTTCCTGTCCTCTCATTGGCTGTCTACTGCTCGCGTCAGCGATACCATAGCAACCTGCTCCTTTAATTACGGATTGGTCCTCACCAGCCACACCTTCTGTCCTGATTGGTTACGATCAGTTACCTAACGTTACATATAGCTCCCCCGCCTCTTTCACAAGAATCTTTGACCTAGAAACATGCTCGGAGCTGTTTTGTTATTGGCTGCTTTCCTTGTCATGGTAACACAAATGACAACGCTATGACAGCAGTACCTAGTAAACACATGTATGAAGTCTGTATGGTGGAAGCAAATAAAATGTACTCGGAGCAGATGGAGATTGGCATTTATATTGATGCCGGTTCTGACTTTTTGCACATTCCTTTTCTGCGTGTTTATGACGCCTTTTTAGGTCAATGGACTGCAAAACGCACGGGAACGCACAAAAATGAGCGCATGCTTTACTTTTTTTTTTTTCAAATCACGCCGCACCATGTCACATGGTAACGCGGTCCCACGTGGTTTGGTGGCTGCAAACGGCCTGCGAGATGCGTTCAGGGTGCCATCAACAGTTAATGACACCCGCACACGTAAGGGCAGCGCCTGGGAAATGCACGCCGGTGTGAACGGTCCATTAGGCCGGCCATGGGTCGCTCTGTTAGTGGGTCAATGGCATCGGCCGATTTGCACGGTTCCTCCCCTTTTCGGTGATTGGGCATGTTGGAAAATTCGTGAAAAACTACCGATTTTCGACTCGATGGCCAAATCGTACGATCATTTTTCCGAAAAGAATATGCGCATGAGCCGTGACCTGGAAGTTTCGCCTGTTATATGGGGTGAACTTTATAACTCAGTCGGCCTATTTTCGAAATCATTGATGGCACCATCAGATTAGCGAGCGAACGTTTTCGATTTTCGGAATACACGGATCCTGACCTTTGACCCTGACCATTGACCGTGACCTTGACCATAAACCTAACCCTGACACTGACCTAGAGTAAACCCTGATCTAGTTATTTCATCTTTATTTATTTTTTACACTCACTTTTTTTTTTCTTGTTTTACAATTTTCTTCGCTAGCAAAGAGAAAAAGATGCAATGGGGCTGATTTACTAAAACTGGAGAGTGCAAAATCTGGTGCAGCTGTGCATGGCAGCCAATCAGCTTCTAAGGCTGGCCATACATGGATCGAAATTCAACCGATTTTTCATCCAAAAATCGGACCTAAGAATAATCAGCTGATTTTCACTCTTTATTGGGTCAATGGCACCGGTCGATTTTCGTGGTTCCTCCCCTTTTCGGTGATTGGGCATGTTGGAAAATTTGTGAAAAACTACCGATTTTCGACTCAATGATGGTCAAATTGTCCGAAAAGAATATGCGCATGAGCCGTGACCTGGAAGGAACAGAAGTTTCACCTGTTATATGGGGTGAATTTTATGAATTGGTCGGCCAATTTTCAAAATCATTGATGTCGCCATCGGATTACCGAGCGAACGACGTTTTCGATTTTCAGCCGAAAAATCGTTCGGAATTCGAACCATGTATGGCCTGCATAAGTCCCTGGTCACACCAATGTGACTTGTCATGCGACTTGAAACAATAAAGTCGCATGACAAGTCGCACAGTACTGTCCGCAATGGAAGCGGTCATATTGGTGTGATCCCGACTCTGACGGATTCGCGCCAATTTTGAAAGCACTTCATGGACTACTTTGTGCGAGTTCAGGAGCGACTTGCATAGACATTTATTTATTTCATTATTTGTTGATTTCAGGTACTATATAGCGCCGTCAGTTTACGCAGTACTTTACATATATATATATTGTACATTCACATCAGTCCCTAACCCTCAAGGGGCGTACAATCTAAGGTCCCTAACTTACATTCATAAGTTGCATGAAGTCGCACAGATGCCTTCCAATTCACACCTGAAGTCACACTGACATCAGACTTTGAAATCATGCATGTTCAAGTGAAGTCACACAATTTCAAAGTCAGATTTGGTGTAACCGAAGACTCAGCCTTGGTTCACAGTAATGTGTTGCGGGAACAGGGGCGGACTGACAACTCATGGGGCCCCCGGGCAATGGGGATCATGGGGCCCCTGTGTCCTTGCCCAAACTCAAAAAAGCCTATGAAAAAGGTACCAGGGGCATCTCATGGGGCCCCCTACTGACCCCGGGCCCTCGGGCACTGCCCGAGTTTCTAAATGGTCAGTCCACCCCTGTGCGGGAAACACAGGAATCCTGTGCGTTTCCCGTGCCACATTGCAATTTCACAGCGTCCATGCGATCTGGTACGGAGGTTGGTGTTAAATGAACGACACCCTGAAACAGATCGCAAAACGCAGTGCGATTACCAGAATTCGTGTGAACACCCATGCGATGCGAATCAGATAAGGGTCCTGCACCTTTTTGGTGCAGAGGCGATACGGTTGGAGCTATACAAAATGTACGGCTCGAATCACACCGCACAGACATCGCATGTGATTTGCACAGGAATGCAGTGCGGTTCCTCTGCGAATGCGATGTGCCGCACTGCACCAGTGTGAACCAAAGCTTAAAGCGGAGCTCCACCCAAAAGGGGAATTTCTGCTTTAAGCCTTTGTCATCCCCCACTTCCCATTAAGGATTGGCACCTTTGGGGAGCGGGTACACGAATTTGACAGGTACCCACTTCCACGGCGATCGGAAGTGGAAGTTGTCCTCCCTCCCCGTAGTCTTCTGGGAAACGTGACAGGTCCCAGAAGACCACGGGGCCATTCACACAGTGCAGCACTTCTCGCGCATGTGCAGTGGGCACCCGGCTGTGAAGCCGCAAGCTGTCACATCCAGGTGCCCACACCAGGGGCGGACTGACCATTTGGAAACTCAGGCATTGCCCGAGGGCCCAGGGTCAGTAGGGGGCCCATGAGATGCCCCTGGTACCTTTTTCATAGGCTTTTTTGAGTTTGGGCAAGGACACAGGGGCCCCATGATCCCTACTGCCCGGGGGCCCCATGAGTTGTCAGTCCACCCCTGGCCCACACTGAAGATGTCAGCGCCAGGCGGAAACCAGCCGTGGTGAGGAAACCGCTAGACCGAGGGACAGGTAATGCAGGCCATAGACAGGTCGTTTATCGGCCGATATTCGCACCGTTAGTGGGGCAATGTCGTCGGCCAATTTTCTCGGTTCCTTCTCATTTCTTTTATCGGTCATGCTGGAAAATCTACGAAAAACGGACAATTTTTGTAAGCATCGGTGGCAACAGAACAACCGATTTGTTTTTCGGCTGACAATTCGTCCCATAAACGACCCGTCTATGGCCTGCATAAGTGTCTGCATTTTAAAAGTCAGCAGCTACAGTTTTTGTAGCTGCTGACTTTTTTTTTTCAGGTGGAACGCGGCTTTAAGCTGTAATTTTATGGAAAGATCTGTAGGGCCTGTAAGGGCGTTGAAACAAGTTTTGCCTTCTGACATCCCGGTTGCACCGGGTGCGACTTGACATGCAACTTAGATGCCATGCGACTTTCCAATCATATGCCCAGTCGTACCCTATTGTCCACAATTACCAAGTCGGAGGAGCCGCACCGATTCCTAAAGTAGTACATGCACTACTTTTCGTGCGATTTACATTGACACCTGTGTCAGATGTCTTACAAATCGCACCTGAAATCGGCATGTCCCCCCGACTTTGAAACCGTATGACTTACGGTGAAGTCGCACAATTTCAAAGTCAGGCTTGATGTGACAGGGGTGTTAGGCCTGGTTCATACCTATGCATTTTTTTAGGGCATTTTGGGCTGCGGCATGTGTACACCCATGGCTGCCTCTGCAGCTGTAGGGGGGTAGCATTTGGGGTGGTGGTAAAAATACATCTCAACCGCAGGGTTTTACCACTCCCCAACTGCTAGGGTGAACGAACCCTAAAACACATGCTGCAATAGATTTCGAACGGCATGCCTACGTATAATGTGCGCTGCAAAAAAAAAAAAAAGGATCATGTACAAACCTTTTGTGTTTGCGGCCCAATCATGCTGCCTCTATTGCCGTGCGTAGCAACACGCCTCAGTGTGCGACAACACGTGCAATGCAGCACAGGCCATCCTGGTGTGACTGATCCCCTAGGATGGCCACTGGTGTAAATGAGTCTGGGACTAGACCTGCGGGGATGTGGATGGTGCTGGATGTAGTTGTGAGCGCCTGGTTCAGGGGCGGACTGACAACTCATGGGGCCCCCGGGCAATAGGGGATCATGGGGCCCCTGTGTCCTTGCCCAAACTCAAAAAAAAGCCTCGGAAAAAGGTACCAGTGGCATCTCATGGGGCCCCCTACTGACCCCAGGCCCTCAGGCAATGCCCGAGTTTCCAAATGGTCAGTCCGCCCTGGCCTGGTTGCAGCAGTCAGCACCCAGCAGATGGATCTGCCAGCACTGGAGTGACTCTGGGACATTTGGGGAATCTCAGTAGAGGTGTTTGTAATGATGGGGTGCTGTGTGCTGCACTGTGTTTCTAAACACATTCATGCCTGGACACGTGAGTGGTTCCTCTAAGAACACTAATGGCAGGAATACACGGTAAGAAAATCGACCGATCGGTTTATTGCATTCCGATACAGTTCTTTTTTTTTTTTTTTTCTGAAATCTAAAAAAAAAAAAGCTTTTATTCCAAACATGTAGTGAATGAAATAGCCAACACGTTTTATTTGGCCCCTTCATCAGGGCCACAATGTTATATATATGAAATCATTAGAATAAAAGTAAAACAGAAATATTGGGGCTGCCTTGGATGACCTTCTGAAAATGCCAGTAGCTGGCTGTTATACTGACCCACTGGCTGCAATACCGATTTAATGTCCTATAATAAGTGAGTGTGCAGATCAGTAAAGATGGAACATCCTATTGCATGCTTCTTCCAGGTCAGGTGACTAAAATTATTAAATTGTATCTATAGCCAATTTTACTTGGATAGCGTTTGGAAGGATTAGAACCCCTGTTATATTTAATTGCTATCACATTTTCTGTTCTGGGGACAACCTTTTATGTGACAAGAAGTAACAATAAATCTGCAAAAAGGGAAAGAGACAACAATAAAAGCTAAATTTAACAAAGTGCTGTGCAATCTAAAATAACCACTGTGTAAAATCAAAAGAAACTGCACATTGCAAAAGGAACCAAAACAAACAATTACGTGATGGGAAAAACCCATAACTAAGTCACAAGGCGCATGACGAAACATGTTGGGGTAGAGCCACATGACGTCATCATGCACGACCATTAGGTTTCTTTGTAATTGGAAATGCTTCCAGTACAGTTCTATGCAGAAAAAAATGCAGCATGTCCTACTTTTTGGAACTGAAACACAATGGAACTGCAATCACTGGTGTGAACCATGCCATCGACAACTATGTAACCTACTTTCTGTGCATTTTGGATGCAGAAAAAAAACACTAACACATTGAACAAGCTGAACTTAGAAGCTGATTGGCTACCATGCACAGATTTTGCATTCTTCTGTCTTAGTGAATGAACCCACTGCTTAAAGGATAAGTTCACCTTTCGTAACATGTTACACCCATATTCAGGGTGTAACATGTAACATGTTCTGTTCAGACCGGCCCCCACTCCCTGCTTTTTCAGCTAGCAGGGGATCTTCTCCCCCCTCACTGTCAAGTTTAAAAAAAAAGAAAAAAAAAAAGAAAAGGGGGCCATGCGGGGCTCCGCCCACACGTCTGCATCTCTCATTCAGTCATCTGTGAATAAGAGACTACAAGTCCCGACAGCCTTAGTGGCTGTCAGCTTGTAGCCCTCAATGAACTACCATGACGCTGTCAAGCGCTGTGGTAGTTCATTCATTCTTCCTGTCAGTATATCTGCTTGTGCATACATCCCATACGGCAAGCAGATATTCTGACAGGTCTGCAGGAGTCCTGCATGGCACCAGCAATCTGCTGATCACTGGTGCAATGCTTTCCAGGCTCCTGCAGACAAAAATAATAAATGAACATTTTTTTACCTGCAAAAAAATGTGCATTTATTATTTTTTTCTAAAAAGTGAACTTATCCTTTAATTGCAAAGAAGCATGATAGTTAAAGGGTAACTCCACTTTCCTGGGAAAAAAATAGCAAATAAAAAAAGTAATAATATAGCACAGGGGTTTCCAAACTTTTTAAACAAAGGGCCAGTTTATTGTCCTTCGGACTTTAGAGGGGTCGCAATGTGACCACCAGGAGTAGAAAATGTCCCAGTATCAGTTGGAGTACACAATGCCTCATCATTAGTGTCATTGGTAGGAATAGTGCCCCATCACTGGTGTGATTGGGAGGAACTGTGCCCCATTGTTGATGTCGTTGGGAGGAATAGTGCCCCATCATTGGTGTCATTGGTAGGAATAGTGCCTCATCATTGGTGTCATTGGTAGGAATAGTGCCTCATCATTGGTGTCATTGGTAGGAATAGTGCCTCATCATTGGTAGGAATAGTGCCCCATCATCGGTAGGAATAGTGTCCAATCACTGGTGTGATTGGAAAGAATTGTTCTCCATTATTGATGTCATTGGGAGGAATTGTGCCCCATCATTG